CTAGTAGATGATGAAGCTCCAAAGCAGAGTTGAAACCCTCATAGTTGAATGAGAGTCACCAAAATGAAGACGTTTTCACTCACTGAGGAAATAAACCTGTTAGTCCTTTCTCTTAGCTCAATTTCAGTGTCCCTATATGAGTCTGACTCCACTGGGGGCTGGAAAAGTCAGTAAGAGTATCCTAGCCATTACAGGTTGGGCAGAAATATGAGGGCCTGGAGATTCCATCACTACTGTTTCATTTCACATAACGTTCACCCAAGCCAAACCACCAAATACTGAGTATCGATGACGGATGAGCAACTCAAATCTAACAGTGGAAGCATTTAGCTTCATGTCTCAACATTGTCCACTTAACGTGTTTATTGGCATTTTATCAGCCAACTTTCTTTTTATTTGATTCTTATAAGAGGTCAAAAACTTGGGAAAAAGATTTTAGAAGAATAAACATCTTTTCTTTATGTATTTTCAACATCTGACTAGTGTTAATTCATTTTCTTTTTAGATATAGAAACAATGTGAAATTTTGAGAGGTATCAGTGATCGCATTATTAACTTTTTTCATCCTAGTGACAGATAGTTTAAATTTCAAAAAGTTGTCTTCCTGGGGGCTTTAAAGTTTGGGCAAGAAGCAAAGCTGCTGTCCAGCGTTCTTATTCCCAGTCCTTACTCTGTGTGTATATGATCAGTTGAAGTTATGTAACTTGCTCGGTTTAAATGATGCAGAGATGTAGATTCCTGAATTTTGGATGTGTTTGGGCAACACTAGCCAGAGCACAAGGACAGGAAGAATGCAGAGGAGAAAGGCAAATTGTGTCCATTTTCTTTCACTGCAGGTCCTTTCCTTTGTTTGAGTTTCTTCCCCATTGCATCTCATCTCAGCATATAGTCACCTTGGATTTCGCTCATTCTCCACTGCCCATTAAATGACTACTAACATGACACACACTGAAGAAGGAACCTCAGAGGAGGACCTGACAATGGATAGGCCAATGGGCACACCTATGAGGCATATTCTTGATTGCTAATTGATGTAGAAAGGTCCATCCCAACTGTAGACATTTATATTCCTGGAGGGTGAGAAAGGCGGCTGCAGGAGAAATGTTGCTAACAGGAGCCTCGGAAGCCAGAGCCTTTCTCCACAGTCTCTATCCCAGTTCCTGCCTCTAGGTTCCTGCTTTGAATTCCTGCCTGACTTTCCTAAGTTATGAACTGAGACCTGGAAGTGTGAGATCAAATAAACCTTTTCCTGTCCAAGCTGCTTTTGGTCAGTGTTTTATCAAAGCAATAGAAAGAAAACTCAGAGCAGTGACTATCCATACAACCATCATGCATTAGACTGTGGGCTAGAAGCACACAGAGAAGTTGACCCTTGTGTAGTTAGTGTACAGCATTCTTGACAGATGCCAAACGTTCTAGAGGGGCTGTCTGTTCTTACCACATTGGGCTTTCTTAGCTACCTGATCATGTTGTTTCTAATTGTCTATGGCTGTGTAAATAGTCCATGTGTGACCTAGAGTAGAAAATAAGACCCTTAACAGAAGAATGGCAAACCTGAAACTTGCTTATCTGTTTTCCTCATAAATCTGGTGCTGTATGCTCAGCGGTCCCCTTAATTTCATTTGCATTTTAACTACTGTTACTTGGTGGTTTTTAGTAAAAAATGTCTTCCTACTTTATTTCATAAAAGCAGTAGTGAATGAGAACTAGAGGCCTTAGATCTGCCCAGAATTGTTCTGACCACTGTGCTTCTCACTCTTATCAAATGGGCGCCAAGTCCCCTGTGAGGGAACGTTATGACCTCTGTGAGGGGGCATCATAGCACTATAGCCTCTGTGAGAGAAGACCATGGCCTCTGTGAGGGAGCAACATGGCCTCTATGAGGGAGCAACATGGCCTCTATGAGGGAGCAACATGGCCTCTGTGAGGGAGCAACATGGCCTCCGTGAGGAAGAGTCTTGATCTCTGTAGGAGAGTACTCTGATTTCTGTAGGCAGGACACCTAAGTCCTGTGAGGAGGTGAGCCAGGACCCATGTGGGATAGTGTCCACACCAGTGTGAAAGAGAACCCTTACTACATGAGATAGGAACTCCATCCACATCCATGTGAGGGATCATACAGGCTAGGTGCAGAAACACTGTGGCCAATGTAAGGGAGCATCCTCATTCCTATGAGAGGAAGTACCAAGACCCTTGTGTGGAAATGTCTGGATCAATATTTGAGAGAAGGCTCTTGACAACATGACATGTAAAGGAGCATCCAGCACATGATAAGAAGATCACAAATCCAATGAGAGAGTATCCTAGTACATGTGTGGGAACATCCAACCCATTGGAGGCACACCTTGCCCATGAGTAAGGCCTCTTTCTGGTCTAATGTAAATAGGCCCGTAGAAATGCATTCATTCATGAAAAGCAGTGATTACATGTCTGATAAATGTCACTGAGTGCCACTAGAGGCAGGATATCGAACCTGACCATCTCTGCCAACTTAAGCCATAATTTGTTATCTTTAAAATGTGTGCAGCAGTTTCTTCTTGCGACTTTTTTTCTAAACTTTGCTCTTAATAGGTAAAGACTTTTGCTCCTTCAGCATTGATGAAAGAAGTTTCATGGAAGCAAGAACTTCCATTCTGTGGACAGTAGGGTCACATTTGGTGAGTTACTGAGACGGCCTTTCTGTTAATGCCTGTAGATAATGAATGGGGAATGAGATATTGACAACCTTTCACAGTGTATTTCCACCTAATGTGAACTTGCTTTGGCAGTGTGGGCATTTTCATGCTCTGGTTGAACTTTTTCAACCAGAAACAGTGTTGAAAAAGTGTTTTATAATAGTGTTTTATCATGGTTGTCCTTGCTTGTACACATTATATCATCAGAAATCTACTCTCTAGGAATCAAATTAATAGGCTTCAGTACTGAGAGAAAACATCTCAAGATGGACATTAGGTTTGTGTGTTATATTGTGCCTTCAACCTCGGTTGCATAATTATAACTCCGTAGCAGATAGTTGATCTCATGGAACAGTCTGTGAGCTTTATGTGTGAAGGTGAAATTATCAACATACCAAAAGCATTCACACTGTCCTCTCAAGGGCTCTTAGTTCTCAGCCATTTGAAATGTTAGTATTTCCCAAAATACCTGCACTGCCATTCAGTCTACCACCAGCGTGCTGGAGTGCAGTCATTGCCAGCAGGGAGGCAGTGCCTGCTACGTGAAGGACTCAGCAGAGCTGAGCATGTGCATAGGACTGACGTCATTGTCCATGATCCACACTGCTGCTGGGGATCCTGCTGGCACCCTCATCCCCACACTTTTCTCCGGAATCCTGTTTGTGGCAAGCTGATGCCAGTAGTGTGACCATCGCAAGGTTGAAGACAAGGTAAGTTTTAAGGACACGTGAAAGTCTGTCTTTGAATAGAAAAGCAGTCCTATGATATTCTAGAAAAACAGTGCCAGATGGGCCATGTTGGCATTCAACTACCAGAAACAGCAAGAGTTATTTTAAGAAAAGGAAAAGCCATCGCTGGGGTTGCCTGCTCCAAAGCAATGGGAAAAGGCAGTCGCTGTTTCCTCAACATGAACTAGTGTCTCCTTCCAGTTCACACTGTTTGAACAGAGTGCCACAGGCTGGATAATTTATAAACAATGGATGTTTAGTGGGCACATAATTCTGGGTGCTGGGAAGTACAAGAACATGAGTAACCAGCAGCTAGCCACCTCACAGAAGGGCAGCCGCAAACATACGCTACACAGAAGACGCTGGGATTAACTCACTCCTTATTATAAAGCCACCCTCAGGGGTGGCATTGATTTGTGAGACGACTGGAGCCAGCACAACGCAGACACCTCTTGAGGGTCCCACCTGCCAGTCCTGAAACAACGATAACTTCAGTGTGACTTTCGAGGGGACCTGCAAACCATGACACTTGGCCAACACGTGTAGATTTTAATCTCCTGCTTGCTTTAAAAGTTCAGAAATTTAATTAACTCGCTTACTTCAAGAAATGCCTTAGCAACTTTTAGTATCAATTAAAATATAAGGTGGATTTTACTCCTAGAATTGACCTGGATTTATTGTCTTCCAGATAATAAGTAAATAAATGGTCAACTAGAAACACACACTGACAACCAACAGTAATTGTGAAGACATAGGTCATGGCTACCCATTGGAGAAAGGAGTTTAGCTTCACGGTTTGATCATCAAAAGACTGAACAACTGAGAAAAATTCAAGAAACTCTTTCCATGAAAAACCCAAACTGGAAACTTTCAAAGTTTCCACAGAATCCTGAAATCCTCAGAAAGTCCCTGGCGGTTTCCTTGCCATGTCTCCACATGGAGTTCAGACACTGTTTTCTTGATGATGGACAAGTTGCCCTGAAGTTGGTGAGTCATGAGAGACTCCTACGTCAGGACTCCATTGAGAACGGACTAGGATTTGCAGGCAGTGGCTGCATCCCAGACAGGACCATGAGTAATCCCAAGAGTGTGCTTTACTTAGAGGGATAATGTCTGTCTCAAGAACTGGTTACAGGAATAGGACTGACTTCAATTTAGTAATCCTTGCATTCACTGGAATTTCCTGGGATAAGACTGAAGCAGGAGAGTAAACTGGGGAGACAAGGGCATTATGATGCCACACTTAGAAAGGCATGGCTGACACACAGTTTAGGTGAGGTGATTTTTTAGGAGCACATTAAGATAAAAATGCGCGTCCATTTTATTACTGGTAAGTATGCTTTCTGGTAAATTCATTTTGGGTGCAATGAAGTTTATAACTGATGGGAGAATGGACTTGCTAGCCATATTGTCCTAGAAAAGAAAAATAGACATAGGGCTTTTGGAAGGTGACAATGGACAACACTTATCTTGAGCAGTAGTGGGGCCTGACAAAGATTAAGTCAGAGAAAAATAAATGGGTTCTCTAAAAGTCCCTATCCTTGAACTATCTAATCTTGTGTTGGATATGATTCTCACAATTCAATTTTCTACTTGTATTATGAGTACTCTGAGGTTTCTGCCTTCCATTGAATTCTCTTTCCAGGAGAAAGAAAGCAAAGATCATCAGTTTCCCTGAAAAATGATTGAGAATTTTTTTCTTCTTTTTAAGAAATTTTGAAGATTTTATATGTGAGTATGAAATATACTTACATCATTAGATCCCATCCTCTCCCCCACCTCTTTTCATGTCCTTCTTGCAAATCCATGATCTTTATTTATTATTAACTTAATTTAGTTATTATTAAATATTATGGTCATACATCTCTTTCCCCTCTTCTCCATCTATATATAATTTTTTGCTGAGTTCACTTAGTGTTGTTACCATCTATTTATCTATCTATCTATCTATCTATCTATCTATCTATCTATCTATCTATCATCTATCATCTATCTATCTATCTATCTATCTATCTATCTATCTATCATCTATCATTTATCTATCTATCATCTATCTATCTATCTATCTATCTATCTATCTATCTATCTATTATCTATCTACCTATCTATCATCTATCTATCATTTATCTATCTATCATTTATCTATCTATCATTTATCTATCTATCATCTATCTATCTATCATCTATCTATCTCTCTATCTATCTATCATCTATGTATTTATGTGTGTACAGATCTATATATATATTTTCACACATGTATATACACTCATCTATCTATCTATCTGTCTATCTGTCTATCTATCTATCTATCTATCTATCATCTATGTATTTATGTGTGTACAT